ATCTGAAACTAAAATCAGGCCGAGAGAAACCCAGTTCCAAACTTAACTGACCTCCGCCAACTCTTGGCTCTCTGCACTCTGCCATTGGTCGCATTGCTTGAGGCTGCCTCAGCTCCGCACTCCAAATTTCCCTCCCTAAACTTGTCCGTCTCTCTCCTGCTTTAAAATTCTGCCTGAATCTCAGCAGTCTCGTTTATCCTAGTATCTACTTCAGTGGCTTGTCTATTAATTCTTGTTTAGTAACACTCCTGCGAAGTCCCACTTTACTAACAGGCCGCACTAAACACAATATAAATGCAAATTGTTTTTGCTGAATGAGGAGAGTATCTATGAAGCTCGGTGACTATCATCGAAAGCCATTTAGTTTGGGAAATGGGGGGTTATCCCATTTGTCCGAACTTTCCTGTCTCTTCTTGAAGACTTCGCAGACCAATCTGGTAGATGTTAGTCTGCCCTTTGATACATGGCCCACCCTTCAAAGTTCAGGTGCATCCCTTTGCTGCGATGATGTTATCACACTTTTGACATTCTAAGACCGGGTGCCTTGCAGCTGATATCACCACTGGTTGTACCTCCAGTGGGAGTCACTCAAAACTATTGCCAACAGAAAGCCCTACAAACTTTCTATCACCTAACGTTCAATCTGGCCACTGTTGTGAGGAATTTCACCTGCTGAACCAGTGAGTGGTGCAGTATCCCATGTCCTTCAAGTCCTCCCTGTCCTGGGTGGCAGGCTATCTGCATTACCAGTAAAACGGACTAGGCCTGAGCACAGAAACGCAACAGTTCCAAAGGGATACGGCTCTGAGTCAGAGAGAAGCAGCAACAAACAATTGTCTTCCATCGTACCAAATACATGAAATGTACAACCCAAACTCAGGCCATTCAGTCCAACAGGTCAGTGCTGGCATTTATACACCACGTAAGCCTCCTCCCAGTCTACTTCATCTTACATTTCCTTCCATTCCTTTCTCACTCAGATTTCCCTTGAATGTCTCTCTGTGCTCAAAATACACAGAGGTGGAAAATGAAACCACACCCAAAAGCCCCCAAATTACCTGAAAAATTAATCACAGGAATGACACGAGAAAGTAACTTTCCAGATGTGGAAGAGACAGAATCTATCAGGAGTTGTTCCTCCAATCAAAAAGATCCTGCCTTTCTCATGTTGCTCTAGCTCCTACAATCACAAGTTTGCTCCTTCCCACTCTTGCTGCTCCTCAAGAGCCAGAATCTGCGATTGGAGGAGCAGCAAGTACACAAGAACAATAACTTGTGACAGAAATGAGCTGGAGGAGTTACTTTGTGGTAATGTGCAACAGAGTTTCAGCAGGTGGGAGCATGTGAGCTGTTCAGATAAAGACCAGAGTATCCACTGCAGCCAGGCAGGATGGAGGTAGCGAACAGAGCCTGTGCATTGGCCCAATGGAAATGAGATTCGGGGAGTGGGATGTAGGGATAGAAACACAAAATATATAGGCCATTCAGCCCTTCGAGCCTGCTCTGCCATTCAATACAACCACGGCTTATCATCCAACTCAGTACCCTGTTCCAATTTTTTCCCATATCCTTTGATTCCTTCCATCATCAGGAGTAGATCTACATCTTTCAAGAAGGTTTTAAATGTTTTGGTCTCAACGATTTCCTGTGAAAGACAATTTCATAGGCTCACCACTCACAGGGTGAAGAAGTTCCTTCTCACTGTTTTTGTCCTAAAAGGCCAACTACTTATTCTTCGAGATTCATTCCTGGTGCTGGACTCCCTAGTCATTGAGAACAGCCCTCCTGTATCTACCCTGCCTCACTGTTAGAATTTTATAGCGTTCTACAAGATATGCCCCACCTCATTCATCTAAACTCCAGCGAATATAGTCCTAACTGACCCAATCTCATCCAATATCAGTCCTGCCATCCCAGGAATCAGTCTGGCAAACCTTTGTTGCACTCTCTCAGTAGCAAGAACATCTTTCCTCTGATAAGGAGACTCAAACTGCACACAATACCCCAGATATGGTGTTACCAAGGCCTTGTGCAGTTGCAGCAAGACATGCCTGCTCCTATTTTGGAATCCTCTTGCTATGAAGGCTAACATACCATTTACCGTCACCAGCTATTGCCCCTGCCTGCTTACTTTTAGTGACTGCTGTATGAGGACACTAGGTCTTGTTGCACCTCCCTCTTTCTCAATCTATTACCATTTAGACAATAATCCGCCTTGCTCTTTTTTATACCAAAGTGGATGGCCTCTCATTTATCAACATTATACTGCGTCATTCATGTATTTGCTGACTTACCTAAATTGTCTAAATCACACTGAAGGTCCTCTGCATCCTCCTCACAGTATACTCTCTCATCCAGCTTTGTGTCAATTGCAAACTTAGAGGTAGGACACAGTGTCTTCATCTAAATCATTAATACATATTGCAAATAGCTGGAGTCCAAGCACTGATTCCTGCATTACCCCACTGATCCCTGCCTACCACTCAGAAAAAAGAATTGTTTATTCCTATTCTGGTATCCTGTCTGCCAACCAGCTGTCAAACTATTGTCTGCTGAAATCTCCAGTCCCATACACTTCAATTTTGCGTGCTAATCTCTTATGTGGGACCTTATTGGAAGCCAAAGTGTAACAAGAAGTGTACAGTGAAGGAAGAGAGGCTACTGACAATGTGTGTATGATTCAAGTTGGGAAACTGATTATGAAGACTTATTTATCACAAACTAACAAAAACTACATATTGATACATTTCAAGTTAAAGGATTCAGAAAGAATGAAAGAAAAGAGCTTCAGAAAATCAAAAAAAAAAAGCCCCCCAAAATTTAAAACAAAAAGGCCTTGAGAATGTCCCACAAAGAATCTTTGAAGTAAACTAAATATTTTGACCCCTACCAATGTTATTGTCCTTTATTGCATCCTGAGAGATGAAGTTCTACCTTCTCATCATATTCTTGGTTAAAAATCACATCCAATAATTAAACATATTGTGTACTTCCAGAAGAAAAAAGTTAGTTGAAGTCCTCCCAAATTTTTTTCAAAACTGGAATAGCAGTGGGTTTCCATGCAAGTCTTAAAGTTCAAGTGTTTGTTAAGTTGTTTTGGGGTGGGGTGAGGAGTGCACTTCAGATTTTCACTGAGTCTAAGTCACAAAGTTATGGGTCTATTCCCAGGCTTGAGCAGACTATCTAGACTTGAACCCTCCCCACCACCCCGCAACCACTTATTGGAGCTGATATCATTTGAGAGGAGCTAATAAACTGAAGCCCCATTCAACCTGTCAAAAATGTGTGCACAAATCTATTCCCGCCATGGTTCAGTTAGCAACAACTTTTATTTTAAAATCCGTAGTTTTTGGCTTCAAGTCCTCCTCCAGAAATTCTGGTAAAACATCCTTCCTGACATCAAGTGCAATACAGAGGGAGAGTTGCATTGTTGGAGATGCTATCTCTCAGATAAACAGAGGATCCTTCTGTCCTCTTTCGTGGATATAAATGATCCCACGATGCCACTTTGAAAATGTTCAAGGGAATTGTACCTTGTAATCTGTCCTTTAGATTTATCCTTCAACCAATACTACTAAAAACAGATTGTCTGGACATTATTACAATATAGTTTGTAAAAATATGCTGTACCATTTCATTCATTACAAACAATTCAAAAGTACATAAATGGCTGTAAAGCTCTGGCCATCAATGGTGCCAGAGAAATGCAAGTATTTATTTTCTATGTGACAGCGAGCTCTTTTCTCTGTCCTGGCCAAAATCTTTCCCTCTACCAAAATTGCATGGACCCTGCTTGAACACCATGTTTCATTCATTAATGAAGTAGTAACTGGAATTGATAGTTTTGTTTACAGCTCTTCAGGACCTCCCAAGAATGTTTATAATATTTGATATTCAAGCTCTATCTAGGCTCACTCAAAACATGCATTTAGATTTTAAAAAAACATATTTAAAGGAACATGGTTAAACCATAAATGTTCTCTTTCATCTTCTGCTCCTCCTATTATAGTATACGTTTTAATTACTCCTCAAAACTATTAGACCAAAATTTGAGAAGCAGCATGTTTGTGCTGAATTAAAACATGTTTAAAGGAAAAGAAAAATATTTAGATTGTTCACCAGGCCAGTCAAGCAGATTTTGCAAAGTTCCTCTGTGGGGAAAACAACTTCCATTTATTATTTTTAAAAACTTAAAAAGGCCGAATCTTCAGGAAGAAGATTTATTAGCTTCCAGCAGACAGAGCTGCATTTTCACACAGACACATTCTGTTCCACTTAAATCAGCACTTTCTGGAGGCAATGCAAGGGAGCACAAAAAAAACACGCCCATCAGCCAAGTGACCTCAACCCTAAAAACATACTGCTAAACTTAGATTTACTCCTCCTAGTTTCTTTTCACAGAGTAGCATGTCAACAGGACGTGGTGATTCTGCCCCTTAAGACTGTGTTCTGCCATTCAATTAGATCATAGCTGATCTGTGCGTTAACTTGATTTACTCATTTTGGTTCCCTAACTCATATTAACCAGCAAAAATCTTGTAATTGCAGTTTTGAAAATTGATCCCGAACTCAACGGGTTTTAGAGGAGATTTTGAGATTTCCACAAGGCTTTGCAAAAGTATTTCCTGACATCTCCCTTGGGTGACCTACCTTTGATTTTAAGATTGGTCCCCCTTGATCTGGACTCCCGCCACCAGACGAAGTGCAGTAAAGAGAAACTATTAACTTCATTAATCATACAACAATCATCTCAATTTAATCAACCACTTTTAATCTTTCATATATGAGAGAGTACATGCTAGGTCCTTCCAACGTTTTGCATAAATGAATGCAAATCAGTCATTCAAATTAAGCAATGGAAATAAAAGAGCACCAAGGAAGCATTTTGTGCTTTGAAAACACACTTGGATGGAAATAGCTTTGAATTAAAGAGTAAATTGCACTTCAGAGATCAAGTAAAATTCCACTAACTACATAATGACATATTCCCTTAAACTTGCCTGCTGTAGCATCTCTTCAGTTGAGCTGAGTTTCAGCTGATGTTCCTCCAGACAAGCCTCCAGGTCTCTGATCTTCTCCCCTTGGGCCTCCACCTGATCTGTTAGCACACTCACCTATCATCAGAAGAGAGTGCAGAAAGAGAAGTTCACACTAATTGCGATTAAAAAAAAAGGACCTCAACTTAACTCAGCTAACCAGGAAATAAAGTGCTTTTAAACTTATCAGTCAAAAGGAACAGAATGTCATTTCACTTTCCAGCCTGTAACTAACTTTACGGCAGCTCCAATCGGAGTCTGAGTAATAATTTTGAATGCCTGTCTGACTCAGAGTAGATGAGGAAGTAGAGTTACTTGAGTCTCAACTGGATCTATTCACGTACGCCTATCTCACTTGCCTATCACAGAGCTCTTTTGCAGCTCTGTACAGAAATGTGGAACCTGGGTAGTGCTGTGGTTTGCACCCAGTTGACTGATAAGATTCGCACTGGGTCCAACTCTGAGCCAAGCAAGCCGCGACTTGAAACAGGAATGCAAGTGCACAGCAAACAACAAATATTAGGATCTCAAGCTGCTGGCAAGTGTCCCAGCAGCACACCGTCCAACAGTGTGAAAGGTTACAACACAAGCTTTTGTTTTAAAATGTCTACTTATTGGTCGTGTATTTGGAAGAGTCAAAGATCGCGTGTGGCATTCAAATGAAGTAGGTTTAGAAGTGGAGAAATAATTCTGCCATGGACACATAGCAGCCTGGTGGCTCAAACAGCTCATTGGTTAGCACTGTGGCCTGACCGCACTAGGGACCTAGTTCGATTCCACACTCAGGCAACTGTCTGTGTGTGGAGTTTGCATATTCTCCTTGTGTCTGTGTGGGTCTCCTCCGGGTGCTCTGGTTTCCTCCAATAGTCCAAAAATGTGCAGATTAGACAGATTAGCCATGCAAAATACAGGGTTACAGAGATTGGGGGTCGGGGTAGGTCTTGGTGGGATTCTCTTCAGAGGGTCAACGTGGAAATGATGGGCCAAATGGTTGCTTCCATACTGTAGGGATTCTATGATTGTATGACACAGGAGTAATTAAGCCCCCGATTTTTCCATTCAGTCTTAATTTCTTTGTATTCTTACAGCACATGATAAATTCTCTTGTTCCTATTCAAAACAACTACATAGACATGACACTGTAGCACCTTCATTGGGTGGAGGGTGTCATTACAGCATATACACTACCCAACATCATACCCAACATAGAATGATACAGCACAGAATGAGGCCACTGAACCTGCGGCAGCTCTCTGAAAGAATTATCCAGTTAGATCTACTTCCTCTGATCTTTATGAATGGTTTTGATTTCTTGTCCCTCCAAGTATTTTTCTTGTCCAATTCTATTTTGAAAATTTCTGCTGAGTATGCTTCCATCCCTCTCAGGCAACATATTCCATTACAAGATGTGGGTTTGAGAACTGATATGGAAAAAGGAGGAAAAAGTGTGGCACATGGGAGGATTTTAAGATCATAGATTTATATTTACCTTGGGTCACTACTTACTGGCTTCCAAAAAGGAGCAACTTTCGCTATTGAATAATGTTGGTTTTCATACTGGGATCGAAAGGACGCAGGGGATCTGCAAGCTTAGAAGTCTATTAAACGATCATCAGATTTTTGCATTTGTGGACTGTCAGCCTTTAATTGGCTTCACGTGGACCTTATACCCCACCTCCCCCCACCTTTTTGCATGTGGTATCTCTGGTGTGAGTATGCCTCCATCAAGGTGCTGTTTTTCTGACACAGCACTGCACACATTATCTCATGTGAAAAAAGAAACCGAGCATGGATACTGTGGCATTGAAAAGTCCAATACATATGACAGCTCACTTTTTTTTTCCCCATTCATTTGTGGAATGTGGGCATCGCTAGCTGGCCAGCATTTCTTACCCATCCCTAGTTGCCCTTGAGAAGGTGGTGGTGAGTTGCCTTCTTGAACTGCTGCAGTCCTCCTGCTGTGGGTTGACCCACAATGCTATTAGGGAGAGAATTCCAGGATTTTGACCCAGCGACAGTGAAGGAACCGCGGTATATTTCCAAGTCATTATAGTGGGTGACTCGGAGGGGAACTTGAAGGTTCCTATATGTCTGATGTCCTTGTCCTTCTAAGTGGAAGTGGTCATGGGTTTGGAAGGTGCTGTCTGAGGATCTTTGACTTTCTGCAGTGAATCTTGTAGGTAGTTCACACTGCTGCTACTGAGTTTTGGTGGTGGAGGGAGTGGATGCTTGTGGATGTAGTGCCAATCAAGCGGCTGCTTTATCCTGGATGGTGTCAAACTTCTCAAGTGTTGTTGGGGCTGCACTCATCCAGGAAAGTGGGGAGTATTCCATCACACTCCTGACTTGTGCCTTGTAGATGGTGGACAGGTTTTGAGGAGTCAGGAGGTGAGTTACTCGCTGCAGTATTCCCAGCTTCTGGTCTGCTCTGTAGCCACTGTGTTAATGAGTTTCTGGTCAACGGTAACCCCCAGGATGTTGATAGTGGGGGATTCAGTGATGGTAACACCATTGAATGTCAAGGGGTGGTGGTTAGATTGTTTCTTATTGGTGATGGTGATAGCCTGGCATTTGTATGGCGTGAATGTCACTTACCACTTGTCAGCCCAAGCCTGGATATTGTTTCATTTGAACACGGACTGCTTCAGTATCTGAGGAGTCACAAATGGTGCTGAACATTGTGCAATCATTGGCGAATGTCCACCTTCTGACCTTATGATGGAGGGAAGGTCATTGATGAAGGAACTGAAGATGTTTGGGCCTAGGACACTACCCTGAGGAACTCCTGCAGAGATGTCCTGGAGCTGAGATGATTGACCTCCAACAATCACAACCATCCTCCAATGTGTCAGGTATAATTCCAACACTGGAGAGTTTGCCCCCTGATATCCATGTTTGAACCAAGGCTATAATGAGATCAGGAACTGAGTGGCCCTGACAGAAAACTGGGCATCACCAAGCAGGTTATTTCTGAGCAGGTGCTGCTTGATAGCACTGTTGATGACACCTTCTATCACTTTACTGATGATCGAGAGTAGACTGATGGGGTGGTAATTGGCCGGGTTGGATTTGTCCTGCTTTGTGTGTACAAGACATACTTGGGCAATTTTCCACGTTGTCGGGTAGATACCAGCGTTGTAACTGTACTGGAACAGCTTGGCTAGGGGAGCGGCAAGTTCTGGAGCACAAGTCTTCAGTACTATTGCCGGAATGTTGTCAGGGCCTGTAATCTTTGCAGTCTCCAACCATTTCTTGATATCACGTGGAGTGAATCGAATTGGCTGAAGACTGGTATCTGTTATGCTGGGGATCACTGGAGGCGGCTGAGGTGGATCATCCACTCGGCACTTCTAGCTTAAGATTGCTGCGAGTGCTTCAGCCTTATCTCTTGCACTGATGTGCTGGGCTCTTCCATCGTTGAGGATGGGAATACTTGTGGAGCCTCGTCCTCCAATGAATTTAATTGTCCACCACCATTCACGACTGGATGTGGCAGGACTGCAGAGCTTAGATCTGATCCGTTGGTTGTGGGATCGCTTAGCTCTGTCTATCACTTGCTGCTTTCGCTGTTTGGTGTGCAAGCAGTCCTGTTTGGTGGCTTCACCGGGTTGATACCTCATCTTCAGGTATGCCTGGTGCTGCTCCTGGCATGCCCTCCTGCACTCTACATTGAACCAGGATTGATTCCTGGCTTGATGGTAATGGTTGAGTGAGGAATATGCTGGGCCATGAGGTTAGAGATTGTGCTGGAGTACAATTCTGCTGCAGTTGATGGCCCACAGTGCCTCATGGATGCCCAGTATTGAGTTGCTGGATCTGTGCGAAGTCTGTCCCATTTAGCACAGTGTTAGTGCCACACAACATGATGGAGGTTATTCTTAACGTGAAGGCGGGACTTAGTCTCCACAAGGACTGTGCGATAGTCACTGTTACCGATACTGCCATGGAGAGATGCAACTGCAGCTGGCAGATTAGTAAAGATGAGGTAAAGTATGTTTTTCCCTCTTGTTGGTTCCCTCACCACCTGCCACAGACCCAGCAATTATGTACTTTAGGACCTGACCAACCCGATCAGTAGTACTGCTGCCGAACCACTCTTGGTGGTGGGCATTGAAATCCCCCTCCCAGAGTACATTTTGTGCCCTTGCCATCCTCAGTGCTTCCTTTAAGTGTTGTTCAACATGGAGGAATACGGATTCATCAGCTGAGGGAGGACAGTATGTGGTAATAAGCAGGAAGTTTCCTTGTTTAACCTGAAGCCATGAGACTTCATGGGGTCCTGAGTCAATGTTGAGGACTCCTAGAGCAACACCCCACTGTTCCTCCCCCTCTGCTGGGTCTGTCCTGTCAGTGAGACAGGACATATCGAAGGAAAGTGATGTTGGTGATTCCGAGAGTATGACTAAATCAGACTGTTGCTTAACTAGTCTGAGAGACAGCTCTCCCAATTTTGGCACTAACCCCCAGATGTTAGTGAGGGGGACTTTGCAGGGTCGACAGGGCTGTTTCTGCCGTTGTCTTTTCCGGTGCCTACGTCGATGCCAGATGATCCATCCAGTTTTATTTCTTTGAGACTTTGTAGCGTTTGGTACAACTGAGTGGCTTGCTAGGCCATTTCAGAGGGCAGCTAAAAGTCAACCACATTGCTGTGGATCTGGAGTCACATGTCGGCCAGATCAGGTGAAGGTGGTAGATTTTGTTCTGTGAAGGGCATTAGTGAACCAGATGGGTTTTTCCAACAATCGGCAATGATTTCACGATGATCAGTAGATTCTTAACTCCAGACATTTTTTTAAATTATTGAATCCAAATTCCACCATTTGCCGTTGCCAAAACATCAAGTGGGTTTCTGAATTAATAGTCAAACGATAATACCACTAGGCCATTGCCTAGTAATGTAATGAAAGTAATATTAAGCTATTACGTGCCTGATGAATGCAATATAAATATTACATTCATCAGGCACATAACAGCTTAATATTAGCCCAGATACTTATGTTACACTGAGAAGCATGCTTCCAGTAGAGTGCTATGTTTCAAGTGATCTGAGGTTAGATGGAGTATGAGATCTTCATAACTTCAGGGCACATACTACAATTAGGGATGACATCACTAGAATATCTATTAAAAGCATCTGACATACAACAACCATCTTGCTCCTAAGAGCCACCAATCAATTAAATAACTGCAAAGCTTGTCTTGACAGCATCAACAGATTTTTTTGGCCAATCATGAAGAGGAGATGCAGATAGAGCCTGGACTTTCAGGCATGTTACCGTGGCCAAATCACAGGTCCAGCAAACATGTGATAGACACAGGCTGTTCAAACTAGAGCACCTAACCCTCATTAATCCTCCCCTTTACCACCAGCATGGACAAAAAGCGACATGGCGTGGGCCTCCTCTACCACAGGAGAAATTAGCCATGATAATACTGGCACAGCTAGCTTGAGGGACTGCAGGGTCTTCTGCTACTATTTCTTGAGCTCTTACAACAAAGACCAAGTCAAACAACCCTGTCCTGCAGTCCTCATGAACATGTGAGAACTTGAGTCAAAATTTGACAAGGGGTGTCCCACAAATTTGTGCAACACAGCCTGACATAATTACATGTACCGAGTATGACCTTACAGTCAATGTCCCGGACAATTCAATTACCATCCCTAAGGGAGTCCTCTTCCACTGGCAGAGCAGGCAATACAGAGAGGTGGTGGCACAGAGGTATACACAGTCAAAGGAGCAAGCTAGGAGAGTTCATCGTTGAATCTGGACCCCATGAAGTCTTATGGCATCAGATCTGACATGGGCAAGGAAACCTCCTGCTGGTAACTACTACTGTCCTCCCTTAAATCATAATTCAGTGCTTCTCCATGTTAAAAAGCACTAGGAAGAGGAGGACAGCAAAGTCACAGAATGTTATCTTGGTGGGAGACTGCAATATCCGTCAAGAGTGGCTCCAGGGCACCATTACTGACTGAGGCCTGCCAGGTGGTGCAGGAACTAATGAGTGAGGAAAAACAACACGACCCTGTCCTCACCAATCTTTCTGCTGCTGGTACCTCTTTCCACAGTATTAGTCGGAGTAAATAACTGAGTATGTGCAAGTTGGAGATTAATAGATTTTGGGACATTAATGAAATCAACAGACATGGAGATAAGGAAGCGAAGTGGTTTGGAGGTGCAAGATCAGCCATGACCTTATTGAATAGTGAAGCAAACTCTAGGGTCTGTATGGCCCACTTCTACTCCTGTTACTTGTATTCATTGGAAACTAAAATCAGTGAAGGTAAAAAAACACAAAGTCATAACTACAGCTTCATATCAACACAAGTACCCAGGAGGTGGCCTTCATATCATTGAGCCTGGTCTCCCATTCAATATGACAATGGCTAATCTGCATTGTGACTTCAGTTAGTCTCCTTGGTTATCCACAAGTTAAACTTTACCCATGCTTTTTAAATTTTGGTCAATGTGTTGCTGATTCCTGGCTTTCAGGATGAGGCGGATCTGCATACTTGTGGGATGGGATGGAACAGGATATGGTCGCAAGAGAACTCACCTGTAGCACCAGGCACTCCCTGTCACTCTCCAATCGCGTCAGTCGCTCTCGGCAGGTTTCATTATTCACAGCTGCACGATGATTGCCCTAAATATTAAAAATGAAATTAATCAAACTGGTTCGAACGACCCCCTCCATCACGCAATTTTTGGAAGGTGTGATATTAAAAGTTTGCAAATAACAGTGACAATATTCATTGTTTCAAGGGGCTGAATGGCCCCCTTCTGTGATGTACCATTCTACACTTTATTCACTTTTGTAACGTAACCAAATCACGCAAATTCAGTGCTTACCTAAATTCTGTTGTTTATTTTCACAGAATTCGAGTTTTAAAACGGAGTGTGATAACTTGAGTGAGTTAATACCCATTGCAAATCTATGCTTAAAACCAAAACATTTCATTTGGCATCTAAGCAGAAATGACAACTGTGCTTCACTGCTGGACGTTCAAGATTCTGAATCTGAAGGTCATGGGTTCAAGTCCCAGTCAAGAGACTTGGGTGCATAAGTCAGACTGACACTTCCAGTGCAGTACCGAGAGAGTGCTGCACAATTGGAGGTGCCTTTCATACATGACTTAAAAACTGTGGTCCCACCTGCTCACTCAATTGTACGTAAAACATCACATGGCACTATTTCAGAGATCTGAGGAGTTCACTTAACCACCTTAGTAGAAGACACAAAACTCAGAAATTTGTGAACTATGAGGAGAATAGTGATAAACATCAAGAGGACACAGACTGGCTGATAAAATTTGATGAAGACAAAAGTAAATTGATTCATTTTGCTGGGAAGGCTAAAGGATGACAATACAAAATAAAGGTGAACATATAAAAGAAAGGAGTGCAGGAACAGAGACTCAGGAATTTAATGTACACAAACATTTAAAAAGTGACATTGGCTGTGTAAGGATGAACAAATGGTTAAAAAGGCATTTGGGATGCTGAACTTCAGTGCAAAAATAAAAAGGAAGTTATAATCAACTTGTACAGACAGTGGTTTGGTTTTAAGTGGAGTATCCATTCTGGGCATTGTACTGCAGAAAGAAAGTAAAAGGATTTCAGAGGCGGCGGGGGAGGTGGGGGGTGGGACGCAGAAAACATTACGAGAATGGATTCAGGACGAAGATTTTCGTGACATGGACAAATTGGGAAGCTGGGCTGTTCTCAGGCTTTGAAAATATGAGAGGTCTGCAAGGAGTGGATAGGGAGAAACTTCTCTCATTGGAGAAAAGGTCAAAACATTTATGCTGATCAGTTAGAAAAAAAGCAAATGACATTTATGCAACTGGTTAAAGATCTAGAAAACATTACAAGAGAGTATATGCTGGATCCAGATTCCACTCCTGCTTTCAAAAAGGAACTGGATGAGAATGTGAAAATGACAAAATTTGCGAGGCTATGGGGAAAGAGTTCGGTATTGGGAATGGTTGAGTTGCAATCCAGCACAGACACAATGTTCTTCAGTGCTGCAGCCATTCTATGAATCAGATTCTAAATGATAGACATCCCTCAAGTAGTATCACTAAAACAGATTATCTAGTCACTTAAGAGTTTGCTGCATGCAAATCAGCTGCCACATTTCTTAGTGTATATCAGTAATTACACATTAATAGTTTCTCACTGGCTGTAATGGACTTTGGGATGCCCTGGTATTCTGAAAGGTGCTATATGGATGTACTTTTTTAATAGGATCCCGTTGACTACACGATGATGGAAGAGGACATTCAGCCCCTCGAGCCTGTTCTGCAAGTCAGTTAGATCACGGTCCATCTCAATTTCCTTTCCTGCCTAAGCTTCATACCTTTAACAGCAAACACCTAGTGATTTCAGTGTGGAAAGCTCCCAAAACGTTTCTGCATTTACAACCTTTTGCGAGAGTACGTGCCAGACTTCCATTCATGGAATAAAGTATTTCTCTATTGCACACCGGAGAAGCCAAACTTCAATTTTGGTATATCATGCTACAGCAGATTGTATTGGTTTTGCCCAAATCAAAACTAGCAGTTTTGCCTCACAATGAGACCAAAGGCCAAAAAGATCTTCTTTGTCATAACCTCCTGCAATTAGTTAGAACAAACCAAATCAGAAGTTGGACTGTGGTCTGCAGTAAAACAACCAGCTCGAAACTTCAGTTACACCTGAGGCAGTGAAGCAGGAGATTAAGATAGGTTAATTTTTAAATTTCCTACAGTTCAAGCTCCATTTGCTCACTTGGACAGCAGTTAATCTTTTTATACCAACTACCCTCAGGCAGTCCTTCCAACTGAGCTCAACCAACAAGAAAGTATTTCCAGTTTTCAACAACTTGACCCGGGTGAAAGTCAAAGTGCATGAAGCAGTGATGTAGGTTGAGATTTGTCAACAAAATCTTAGTGACAGAAAACTTCACTTTATATGTCGAGGTTTCTTCGCAGTTCTTCCAGTCTGTAGTCATCTCAGTGGAAACTCCCTTTGCAATCATTCCACTTCTAGTTTGCAGGCAGTATTTTTCTTGTAAATACTATGGTCGTTTAGACACTAAGGATTGTGTAAAATTTAAGTCTGATCCAACACTTCTCAAATCCGAGTTGGCAGAGGACGGATACACTCCTTGGAATACCCTTGTGAACTCTGAGCCATTCAGAACTACCATGGTGATTTATGGAACATTCCTATGGCACCATTGCAAATACTGGAGCGTTCCTGGGGAATCTTTGCAAATAATAACAGGGACGCCACTCCTACTCCACGTTAAACATTTTCTAATCAATCTGCTCAGATATTATTACAAACCAGAGTAGCAGATGGTTTTGAACCCAGGCCTCCTAGCTCAGAGGTAGGGACACTACCACTATGCCACAGGAGCCCTTCTCCTCCACTTTATAATGATGCAGTAGTGCCAACTCTCCATAGAAAGGACAAAATTCAAAAGATTGATGCTCCAATGCAAGTCGGAGGGACTGCTGCACAGTTGGAGGCACTGACCTTCAGATGCCATAGATAAGAGAGGCTTCTCAGGTAGACACAAAAGATTCCATGGCACTATTTTTGGAAAGGGCAGCCTGGTGTTCTGGCCAACATTCACTTAACTAATAGGAGCTGGTTAGCTTAGCTGGCTGGACAGTTGACTACGTTACTGAAGGAGGGTGGTGACTGGACCCAAAATGTTTGGCTTTGCTTTTTTCTCTCCACAGATGCTGCCAGACCTGCAGAGTTTCTCCAGCAGTTTCTGCTTTTGTTGGCTGGACAGTTTGTTTGCAATGCAGAGCGATGACAACAGCATGGGTTCAGTTCCTGCTCTGTCTGAAGTTACCACGAAGGACCGAAAGAGCTGCGGGTGCTGTAAAATCAGGAACAAAAACAGAAGTTGCTGGAATAGCTCAGCAGGTCTGGCAGCAATTGGTGAAGAAAAAATCAGAGTTAACTTCTCGGGTCTGGTGACCCTTCCTCAGAACGGTTCTGACGAAGCGTCACCAGACCATAGACATGAACTCTGATTTTTTTTCTTCACAGATGCTGCTAGACCTGCTGAGCTTTCCCAGCAACTTCTGTTTTTGTTACCATGACGGACTCTTTCTCAACCTCCCCCCTCACCCTAGGTGTGGTGAAACTCAGGTTAAACCACCATCTGCTGTGTCCCTCTAACGAAAGGGCATCTTATCGTCTGGTAAGACTACAGTGACCACAAGCAGATCTGGTCACTGAAACATGGTTTGTGGGAGCTTGCAGTGTGCTAGCTTGCCTACATTACAGAGATGACTACAGTTCAAAAATACTTAACTGACTGTAAAGTAGTTTGAGATCCTCAGTGGCTGTGAAGAGCTACAAGTTTCTCATTGCCTTTTCTTATGTCCTCCTGATAACCTTGACCAATTCCCAAAGCCCCCACAGTTACTGAGACACTCACAACAAGCCTACAAATGGTCTCCAAGACCTAGTGATCCTCTTCCAGTTTCTTTGTCTCCCAGATAACTGAGTGTTAACTGATGGTAGGCAGTAACACAAACTAAATTCATGTTTCATTTGCTGATTTATTCAGGCAGATATGTCAGAAACAAGTGTGCTGCACGTCAGGGAGGAGGGGGGAAAGAGCTCCAGAAACTTCCTCAGATTTTTTTTTCATTGACCCTTCAAGAGTTTTGGGACTCCAGTTTGGAAACCCGTATGTTGAAGTCAGCTCATCAGGGTGTGTTCTGGATTCAGAGTGAGTTGGAACAATGAATCATTGAGAATGAGATATTTTTGTTGTGGGAAGACATAAAAGTGACACGCCCAGGAACGAACATTAAGCAAATTGTTTGGATTTGGTATGCACTGCCTGGGAATGTGGAGGTGGAGGATTCTGTAGGAGGTTTCAAAAGAGAGCTGGATACATACTTGTAAGTAATGAATTTAGAGGCCTATGGAGATAGGGCAGGAGAATGGGACTAGCTGAGTGGCTTTTTTGGGAACTGGTATAAACATGATGGGCCAAATGGCCATCTGTTCTGTAAGAGTTCAACAATTTTAAGTCTAGAAACCAAACAAATTTTATACCATGAGATGCATAACCCAGGAAATTCAAAACTATAATGAAGCTAAAGCTAGTGCACTCAAGTGACGTCAAATTCAGTTTAATGATCAAAGCTAAAGATCAGAGCCTACAGCTATGAATTTAAAACAATGGATTCATCCAACTATAAGCAGCTTGTTCTCGCAACCACAGGATCAGAATGAGACAAATGGGATTTTCAGCTGAAGAAACCACATTGACATGATAGCAAAGAATTTAGGAACAGGAGATAACCATTCAGGCCCTTCGACCTTTCAATAATTCAACTGTATTGTGGCTAATCTGCATCTCGATTCCATTCTCCAAGAACAGTGTATCCTGCAGCCGTGTGCGTGCGCGCACCTCCCTGTCTGCGTGACAACAGTGTGGAGCTGGATGAACATAATCAGGGCAGGCAGCATCAGTGGAGCAGAAAAGTTAACATTTTGAGTTGGGACCCTTCTTCAGAAATGACCATTGACCCGAAACGTCACTTTTCCTGCTCCTCTGATGCTGTCTGGCCTGCTGTGTTCATCCAGCTCCACACTGTCTCCAGCATCTGCAGTTCTTGGGGT